GAAAAAAAGGTTTTCTATTTAATGCATAAACTGAAAAGCCTACAAATCCATTAAGGATTAGTGTTTTTTGGAAGCCCAGTAAGCGTTGGGCGAGGCCCAAATATTAAATCTAAAGAAACCCAATATTGTCCGATTACAAGTTTGCCAAAAAGGAAGAGCAACCGTCAACCTCCAGCTTGAATCGTCAGAGAGGGAGTTGTGTCGTTTCACTGCAAATCAACTCCCCAGCCATCTCTGCATCATGAGCGTTCGAAGTTTTGGGTTTGTTTCTCTGAAGCCAGAAATCTTGGTCCTGATTGTTGAATCGATCATCTGCACAATCGAATCCGACGATCGGAATATTTGCCGGTGAAGGTGACTATTACGTTCTGCCCAAATATGATAGATCGTTGTCTGCCAAGCAAGGAGGGAGAGTCTTGTATTCGCTTTTGGTCCTCTTAGTGTTTGCATGGTTGTGATAGTCGAAGCCCAATTCGTATGAGCTTGAGTTTGTGATCTAGCCGCCACGCGACTCCAAATTGACCAACTGTATCTGCAGGAAAAGAAAAGGTGATCCCTGCTTTCCAATTGATTTGTACATAGCACGCATTTCGGATCCGTATGAAGGCCCCATCCAATAATTCTGAACAAAAAGCCAACACAGGAAGCTCTGTCTCGGAATCCCTCCTTTGATCCAGATCGCCTCAGACCAGCTCACCAAAGGTAGCTGATTTACTAGCTTTTTGTAAACCATGCCCGTGTTGAACCTACTTTCAATTCTCCCATCAATCTCCCATTCATAGTAATCGTCATGATCCGAAAGGCTAATAGTTGTGAGATGTGCTTGGAGTGAGACTTGGTTATCTGATCTTGCAGGCGGTAAAATCCATCTTCCAGTCAAGTAAAGGTCACTTAGTGACGCGTTTAGTGGGATTCCCAATCTGGAATTGTTGTTGTTGGCTAGGTAGGAGGACATGCTACCAAATGGTGACCAATTGTCAGTCCAAAACCGGCAAGAGGTACCATTCTCCACTCTGAGCTTTATCCAATCAAAAACTGGACCTCTCATTCGAATTAGCTTATTTGCTAACCATGAGTTATCTTGTTTTTCCTTGAGAGTCCAGTAGTTGCTGATTGAACCCTTTAAGTC